TAAGTATAAAGTTTTTATTAAGGTCAAGCGCAATAATTCACTGCGATCTTGGCCTAGGCATGAGAAAGAAAGGGGTGGTTTTAGTCAGTAAGAGTTTGGTTTCCCTACTCTCCCTGGGCTGGAGAAGATATTATGTATGATGATATTATGATCGAGGATTCTCCTTCTAAAAGAGAAGGAGAACTCGAGATATTATAAAATAATAAGGTTTGATTGGACGAGGTAACTCGATTAACTCAACTGATCTCGAGCCACGTCCGGGACCTATAATCATAAACAACAATTTTGACGATGTCAGTTTTCGCGCTATTCTTTACAAATGAAACTAGTATTAACAATCGTATTAATTGAGTTGGACGCATAGCTACATAAATTATATTTTATTTGTGTCTTACCCTAGATAGGCCTATGTGTAACAGGCGAACTTTTTTTTTATTTTAATTTTTTTTTAACGTTGCGCCACATTGGGATTTTCTCCTGTGTCGTGGGTGCGGTTACAAACATACAATTTCACATACTCATGACACACAGACCCGGAACAACAATTTGTGGATCACACAAAGAGTTGTTCCGTGCGGGAATCGGACCCACGACACGTTGCACGGCAGCCAGTTGCCCAGCCACCGCACCAACCGTGCAGTCATAATTCAAACCTTGGTATCAAGTTTTAACTGAAAAAATAACGACAAGGTTTATGAAGAAACAAGAACAGCCATAATCATAACTATTTAGATAGAAAAACCTCCTTCGAGAAAGTAAGTAGACCGTGGAGCAGTTTTCAAGTTGGTTCAGATGCTCAGATGTAGTAAACATGAATTTTTATTTTTCAGTAAAATTTTAAGTGCAGAAGGTAGTTGCATCTTAAAAATTTTACGACCACTTTGTTATGTAAGTTTCAAGATATTATCTTAAAGAAGTATGTGCCTCCGTGAGTTTCGCGAACATACACGATATTGTTTGATAGTTTCGTTTTATTTCGTATTTATAGGTTGCAAAACGTAATACTTATTTCCTAAAAGCTTCATTGTTTTCGTTATATTTTTGTATTAGAAAAGCGCTTTAAGCTATATTGGGGGACGAAATTGTAACATACATCAGTGTTCCTCATTTTCTTTACTTTGAAGTGTGAGAGAGTGTTTCGGCACCAATAGGTTGGCTCGACCGGAGTGATACCATGGCTTCACAGAATACCGGTGTTAAGCAACACTAACGTTGTGTTTCGTCGTGTGGGTGACGTTACCAGAGGCCTCAATCCTCAAACCTATCATCCTTAAATCACTTGTAGTAAGTATTTTGGTATTACGAGTGTTAGTTAATTATTTACCATCAGGTAAGCCGTCTGCTAGTTTGCCAGCCTACACCATCAATAAAACCTTAGATAATGTAAAGCGCAGCGTCGCCGCTGCACAAACGCGACGTTGACGTCATCGCTACTAACACGTCTAGTGGGATAGCGGCCTCACTTATATGTGTAAGAAACATATCCTATTAGGTCCTGAACTTGTTTATCTCTTAAAATGAATATCAACTTGTCTTGTATCAGCTTAATCCACTCTCAAAGATACAGAGGAAAAAGATTACGAATGACCACACATTACAAAATTGACCCCAATAATGCGTTTAAAAGAGCAGTTGATCTGTAAGGTCGATTTTACGACACACGACGTAACAATGACATTAATCAAGAAATTATTAATGATTCACCATCAGCAGCGACGTCAAAACAACACAGGCTTATTTGGGAGCGCAATTTGACGGATTGCCTCAAACGGGGATCCCGAACAAATAATAAATGAGGATACTCGTGTTACGTTACAAATGTGTTACATTTACTGGAATAAATGTTCTAAACAAGAACAGCTAAAAACGTTATGCTTCAATAAATCAAATTGCTATATTCTGTTTACTAATTCAGAAGACATCGTTGAGAGTTTGAAATAAGAATTTGTTGAAAATAAACATGTTTGTTGCGTCCTTTTTGGTGATTCTTAACTTCATTTTAGAATAAGCGAGTTTGAATTTAGAATATTTAGAGTTTTTGTTGTAATTGTCGATAGGCGCAAGTTATATTTATCGTTACTGGTATAAGTATCAGGTATAGCACAGATACTAACTAGATGAGACCTGTTCTCGCTGGGGAATCATGGTCACAGTTCAAATCAAAGGCTCTAACAATTTGTTATATAAGTCTCAATGCTTCGATTTGTTTGAACCAAACTCTATTCAATAATTAAGATAATGAATATCCAAATCTTAGGATAAACATACCTTTTTATTTTTATTAAATAGAAAGTGCAAGTTTAAACAAATCCAAGTTAAGTCAAGGTTAACAAAAACATTGAAATATTATTTTCCAATTGTATTTTATTTCAAAACCATATCGAGGGTTCCCGGGCTAATTGGTTTAAGCGACATTTTGGGTGATATTGAGTTATATATATATTTGGAATCAGCGAATTTTTCTCCGTCGAATGGTGCCGGTTTCATTAAAATCGGAGCACTTTTTTGGCGCTTGAAACAATTCTATATTCGTGGTGATTCCAAAATGGCAGTGTATTAAACGACGTGGATTTTGCATTTTTTGTTAAATTATGCACTTGAACCATATCATCATAATAACAACCGAGACATAAACCAGTCACCCTATCTCTCATAAATAAGTCAATGAGAGTTAGAGCGTTTTTCCTGTATTTACTTTTTTATTAAGAAGTAACTTGAATCATTTTGCCTTCCCACTAATCACACGGTGTGATGTCACTTGAACCAATAGTCCGTGACCCAAATAAGACAGGTTTGTCGCTTAAACGCTTTTGGCTGCATCTATTTTGAACGCAGGGTGCTACTTAAAGCAAATAGTCGTTTTCGTTCAGATGTTTTGTTTAGTCGTTAAACCATTTAGTCCTACTTTTTTTTTAAATGTGTGTCGTTTAATACTGATGATAAAATTAATGATGAATAATGAAACATTTTGCCAGTATTCATAAAAATACGAGTCGGTCTTTCAATCACAAAATTTTAATATGGTACATTTCAACCATGTCATATGATACCATATTCATTTCATCGACCGGGTGTCAAAAATCGTGATTTTTCAACTGGACTATCGTGCGCGGGCGCTTCAGCCTCACTCAAGAGTGCGCCGAGGACTGACGTGACGCGCGCAGGCCGCCAGTGTTTACATAAAACGCTCATCAAAATTTAATCGTAAGTACTTTAATTTCATTATTTACGTACCATTTTCAACTGAGATGTTATGACTAATTCGTTTTTATTGTTTATACTTTGATTATGTTACTTCTTCTATTAAGTTGTAGGTACTTAACTTAATACTTTAAGGAAGTGATGAGATAACAATATTAGTTTATTTTTCTCCATTTATGTGCGATGTTATAGATAATAATAATTATTATAAATATAAATATTGTAAATACAACACTCGTATCGTCTCTTTGGATGTAGTTATTTCAATTTTATTTTATTACAGTACTTAAACTTCGTTTATTGCTATACAATTAGCTAAATGTAACGTACAAATTACCTTTTTAGCTATCGTATCTATAATAATTGTATTTTTAGATTGGCACCGTTAATTTACTGTTTATTAAGAATGTTTTGATGTTTTATAAGTATTTTAGCTTCAATTATACAGTATTTATAAATTATAATTTGACAATTCTGACTTTAGTTTCACCTAACGTACTTCCTTTTAGTTATAATAATTAAAATAATGATTATTATTTTAAATATTTCAGATAAATATGGAGACAGAAAGACAGAAATTCTACAAACATAAAATCAAACGAATTTTGACCAAGGATGATGCATCTTCAGTGATTGATGAAAACGACAAATGAAAATTACACTTGATTATTGTTTTCAGCAGCAGCATGAATACGAGAAGTTTCTTTGTTGATTTTATATTTTTTTTTATTTTAAAATTTTATTGTTATCATGTTACTACAAGTTTATTATGTTTAATTATACTTTAACTCAGTAAAGTTTTAGGATAACTAATGAATAAGGTCATAAACAATTTTATTATAATCGACGTTCCCACATTGAGACTGATTTTACTTAATTATAATACAAAGTACTAAAATTTAACTGATTTTGTTGATTAAGACTAAAAAGTTAATAAATATTATTTGATGTTCCTATTGAGACTGGTCTATAATGATTATAAATCTAAATAAATACTTTGATTGATATTGTGTTGTTTTTATTTATTTATTTATTTATTCGATTTTTGGCGATTGCGATATATCCAGGTTGTTTTATCAGCCATTGAAAGTCTTAGATGTAAATAAACTTAAACATTAAACGTTACAATTTCAATGTCACATGTCACATAAGTAAATTAGCCTGTCAGTCATTTTGGTCTAAATTGGTAGTTGAGATAAATACCTTGGTTCTATTAATTTTGGGTTTCGTTACTTCATACTTTTTGGCTTACTCTGTAAATAGAATGCGTCGTCGCTTAATTTTTTTTCCCTGTAGCCAATTGTAGTTATGAAGTCACTTAAATCGTTTTTCCTGTTTCTAAAAAAGGGCGGATTGTTTTAAGCGACATTTATCTTTGCAATTAAAGGTCCGTTTTATTTGGTATTAGCATCAACAACTAGATATTTTTAATTAAAATTCAATACCGTTTACCCCATTAAAATAACTGCAGAAGTTTTTTTGTTTTAAATTTTTTTTCGAAATTTCAAACTTTAAATGGCTCTCCTGTAAAGTTGCAAAAATGTCGCTTAAACCAATTAGCCCGGGAACCCTCGATATAAATAATAGTTTTGAATTTTCTCCTATATCGTGGAAAAAATTCTGGTCGGGAAGTCTATATCGTGGGTGCGTGTAAAAACATACAACTTCAAACACAAAGTGTGGTTCCATGCGACAATCAATCCAGGGACACGTTGCACAGCAGTCAGTTGCAGTTGCCCAGTTTCTGCGCTAGCCGTGCAGTCAAAAAGTTAATACTTAATCTATTATTTTTTTATCAGGTGCTGGCTTCATGCGGCTCTTCGGTACCTACCTAGCGTCTCATGGCTCTTCGCTCGGCACCTACTTCAGATTGCTTCGACCACGAGGCGTGCCCCTCGACTTTCGTGAGATTCTGAAGAGAGTGAATACTCCTTTCATGTTCTGCTTGAAGGTACCTGGATCGTCTTCACCAGCTGAGGTAAGTGATCATTTAGTATTAATTATGTGATTAGTGTTTTTATTTCGTTCCCTAGGTTTGGAAAAGCATAGTGACACAAATGTGTGCCATTAATTTTAATCTACATATGTAATAATTGCGTTGTTAAGTTTTATGATGATGCAAATTTTATAATTGAATTATATGAACTGTTACAAGCAAAATACACGTGAGCTAAATTCATTGTTTTTCAAAAATGACTGTAAGGAAACAGTTAATTTTTTAATGTTTCTTCCGTACTAATAACGCTCGAGCTAATTAAAATGTTCCTATAGAAATATAATCTTTTCTCATCCGAGATTAACATAGAAAATGTTTATTAAGTTCAATTATTTTTTTCCTCCACAAGATAAAAGCGAGTCTTAATTAAAAATAAAACAGAATCCTTCATGATTTATTTTTTTGGGTTATATTTAGAATCTTTGAAAAAAATTCGAAATCTTTAAAACCATCTTTTATGGAAGATCCAATTAGGGAATACGCATTTGACCCACGCAGTTTCACTGACACGCACTTTTGATCTTGAATTAAAGAATTAGTTATTATAGATGCAGTATACTGTCTGCCAATCCTATAGAAGCATAAGGATCAGTTTAAACCGAGACACGCATGACTTGATTCTTTGCATATACTTCAGAACCATTCAAAAAACAACTATGTTTTCTTCACGCCAAGGTAAACATTTTATGTATTGCCTTTTAAGACGGTTTTATGGAGACGTGGAGCACATCGTGCTTTCGTCATGCATTACAGCTGCAGGCCGTGTCATCACCCGTGCAAACACAAACACATGAGCAATCTCTTCTGCGCAGTGTAGTAGCACATCCTCGTCTCGGTGTAAATTTACCCTAAGCGTGTGATATTATACTATATTCACTTCGACTAATCTCAGAACTCAACTCAATTAGCTTAACGTTCAATCTGAACGAGGTATTAAATTTTGATTAGATCTCCTAAGCTGAGCATTGGAGAACATCTAGGGCTATCTACATTACACTGTTTAGTTTACGAATCTTTATGAGATTAACTATTGTGTCTTGTAAATTATTCATAAGTACGATTTGCAATTACGGCAGAGTAGAGTATTGCCACACACTATCCATACTTTTGTCGTGTGCCATGAAAGCTACCTAAGGATTAACAACCAGAGGTGAAGTCTTTGATAAGTCTGAAACATTATTTTTTATAGATCCTCCTAAGTATGTAGACTAGACCCTTGATTCAAAAGTGGATATTCATAGAAGTCCAAGCCCAGGAACAGAAGTCACGCTTAACAATTTTGAAAAGCTACTGATGCCCCTTTACCCCATCGAAGGAAGGAAATATCTTTAAACAAATCTTGAAATTTTCGACGACGGTGATGAATTCAAATTTAGTACCCTGGAGTCTCCTATTGTTAGTAATGTTGCTTTTGATGTGAATGGAATAAGTTTCGAAACTACTGGGCCGATTTGGGAAGTTCTGACAAAATAGGTTGGTTTGAAACGTGGTTGATTTATACACGAGGTTCGGGTTTACTTGGTCACAAATTGGAATACCGGGTTAAAATTAGATCTTATTGGCATATTTAACAAAATTACCTTTAATGCCCTACCAAAATTAATGCAACTCAAAACCCCAAGGACCGTTGAAACCTCGGCAGTCAAAGTACAAAATAATGACCATTGAATTTCAATAGCCCATGGAACACCTCAATTTGAACAATACACTTTAATGACACCGTGATTAAGTTGATTTTTAGTCAGAACTTATTTAAATATAAATGAGTAATCTTCTAAGGAACAAAATGTTATCCTGAATAATTTTATCTTCGTTGTTTTTAACTAAATTTTGTCGGAGAGGAGCAGGAAGTGTCGCCGCGTTATAATTTATTATTTTCGATTTAGGTACCAACAAAATTAATTTCTCTTTGATGTCACTTTTTGCCTGTTTATTATTTTGTTTTCTTGTGGATGGCTCGTTATAATACTGGTATTTAGTTTGTTTGGTGTTTTGATATTGAGGTCGCTTTTATTTTAAGTATTCTTCTTTCAATTTTCAAAATTCGTCTTTTAATTGCGACCAATTTAAGTATTGTTGTACGGTAGGCGTAAGGTAGCGAAATGAAACGAATGACTGCTGAGAATATACTGTGTTTTATTAATGAAATATAATTAATTTATACACTATTAGGATTACAAAGATTATGATAATAGAGGGGACACTACATTGTCACAGTAAAAAAATAAATTTACAAAACCACCATCACCAAGATCTTCATCTAGGAAGTACCTAGTAAAAGTATTCCCAAAATATAGTGCAGTGACAAAAAAAAGAATGGAAACCCAAAACTCAACAAAACATACACGACTAAATAAAAACAATACAATTTATAAATAAACAAAAACAGTTCAGAAGTGCAAACAAAACAATACATTAATGTTTACAAGCACCCACCAATCCGTTCGCACTCCCAGCTCCCATCCTTTCTCAAAACACAATGAAACTTATTACATATGTAACTAAACCTAACTATAACTATGTTCATCCCTTTCTTTGTTCGCTATCCCTCAAAACACTCACATTTCAAGAGCATCCCTTTGTTGAAAGACACTTCACAAGTTTGCAGACAATATTACCTTTAGGATGGACACCAACGAATTATTTGTACTCTGACCAAATTTGTTTAGGTGTTTCGTAGCTAAGATCAATATAAATACTGTTACAGGGGTCGTGATTAAACCCTGTTCCAATATTGATGGTTCATCCTGGTGTTAAGATGATTACAAAAGCTATGATAGGAGAAGGATTATGGAAATAATTGGGTCTTGTTTGTTTCGTAAATTGTTTTACAATGCGGCTGTCTTTGGAGTTTCCATTTTGTTTGTGTTGTTTATTATAGATGAAAGAATGGATGGTTTTGGAGAAGAGGTTCAAGTAATTAAGGATCTATTTTATCTGGTTGCCTTTGTAGGATATAGGGGTCGTAATTGTACAGATTAAACATTGATTGTGTTATTGAATATGTTATGGAGAGTAAATATAGAAATATTTAAAAGCACGGTATCTCTTATCAGTACATAATTAATTATACCTAACATAAACAGCTTTGGAATATCTATAAATATAGAAAAGGAAATATCTAGCTATAATAAATATACCTACATTAAACAGTTAAATCAAAAGATGTCCCAAGCATAATATACCTTAAGATAAAGTTTTTATTAACACAGCCAACATTATAGAGCCATTAATTGCGAAAACTTTTTAATTTTCTACACCAAAAAAGTTTGTACAGAATAAAACTACACAACTAAAACATCAAAACACAACATTTAATCGTCGTAAGAGCTCATTTGGCTCTGCAACGCTTTTATTATCTGCCTGCCCGTGCATAAAACCTCTGCCTCTCAAACTGCTCTACCCAACTCTGATTACGTATCAACAAAGGGAAGTGCTGACTAGACAAAAGCCAGTGACAACAGTTTTTCCAGTGACCTACCTTAGAACTGTGTCACACAAGAATGTGTGTCCAACTGAATACAATGGGCATTTAATATCTCCATACGGACAATGGTCTGGGAAATTGATACAGATGTAATATTTTTGCTATTTTCTTAGAAACGGACCTTCGAGTGTGTTCAGAGTTTTGCACGGTTGATTGGAGGGATTTATTTCTTTTTTTGTTGTTGTGTGTTTAGTAGTATGATGCTCTTTTGTGTTGTGTTAGGCTTTTGCAATTGTATCTAATTCAATTTATGTTATTAGTTTTATTCTCTGATTTTGATTACGATCACAATTACTCATAACTTCCTTCTTCACGACACTTGATTTTTTCCATAACTAAATTTCCATTTCAGTATAGTTTTTGGTCTCAAAGAATAGTTCCACTGAGCAAATCATGCTAAAATCAATGTTTAGACTCAGGCTGCACTGCCGTAGAGTATTTAACCGCGTTTAATTTGATTTGTATTGAAAATTTAGTGTGGGACATAGTACTCGTAATACCTAACAAAAACACCCTTCACCTCGTCACAATTTCCCCAAAGGTTCACTCCCAATAAAAAGAACTAGATAAGGTAACGTGTTCGCTTTTAAAATAAATTAAACTCATTCAACAGAGCTCCATTCGCTAAATCGATTACACGCAATTGGACTAGAAAATAAAATCCGTATCGGGATGAGCTCGTTACTTCAGATTTATTTGGTAATGTAAATAGCGCTGTCTGTTTGTCCGTTCTTAACTATGTTTGGTCAAGGAATTGAGCTCTCTGTGAAGGTTTGAACAAAGATTACGTTTCTCTGAGTAGCATTGAAACTATTGTTAGAGAATTCCAACAAACATTTTTAGTTTGCCTTGCGTCAGATTTTTCTTTTAGTTCTTTTGGATTTTTACTACGTTCGTTGTCTATTTTTAAATGTTGTTTATTTATTAGTAATTCAGTAAGTAATAGCAAAATTTAAAACTCATAACAATAAAAAGCCAGAATTGAGTATCTTCTACAAAAAGTGTATTGATACAATTGAATCTATGTATATGAGTAAGAGTAAAAAAATACATTAATTCACTTCCGTGGTATTATTTCCAAGCCTGGGAAAAAAACGAAAGCAAAATTAACACAAAAATATAAATCTGTCCTACGTCTGGGTTTACTGATTGATAACGGCAAATTAGAATTCTAATACAATTATTACTATCGCTACTTCTGTGGATATTCAAAAATACATAGTATGACTGAGACCGGGCAAAGCCGCTGTTTATATAATTGCATTTTTAAACTGTGTTTAGCTTGCATGGATGTCTTCTAACCTAGACGTTACGTCATCGTAAGATTTATCAAGTAGAAGTTACCGATGAACAAAGCCTCTCCCCTAGCTCAAAGTCCCCAATACCTAAACTTGTAATTCCCAAATCGTATCTCCACTAATGTTTTGGATCCCTACAGCGTTAATTTGCTTACCATCAGGTGATCTTTGTGGTCGTTTACCTCTCTATACCACAT